CAGTAGAGAGAATGGCTGAGTCAGTTGTTTCCTTTGTGCTCGAAAGTGTCAGAGACTTCACCACTCAGGAAGCCAAGTTCTTGTCTGGAGTCGGCCATCAAGTTGAGGTTGCACAAAATGAGCTGCAATTGATGCAAGGCTTCCTCAAAGATGCAGATGCAAGACAAGGACAAGATGAAACAGTCCGTATTTGGGTTGCCAAGATTAGAGACGCTGCTTATGATTTGGAGGATGTCATCCAAACTTATGGCTTGAAAGTGGTTTCCAAGAAGAAAAGAGGCCTCAAGAATGTTCTCAAAAGATTTGCCTGCATCTTCAAGGAAGGGGTTCATCTTCACCAGATTGGGGCAGAAATTGAGAATATCACTGCCAAAATTTCGGCGTTGAGATCGAGCTTGCAGAGTTATAACATAAAGGAAATAAGGGACAGTAGTGACGGTGAATCTTCCTCGCAATTGCATCAGAGGTTAAGGCAAAGTTATCCTCATGCTGTTGAACGTGATGTTGTTGGGTTAGAGTCCAACGTTGAAGAATTGGTTATGCATTTAGTGAAAGATGAAAATCGTCATCGAGTTGTATCTATTTGGGGTATGGGCGGTTTAGGAAAGACCACCCTTGCAAGAAAGGTTTATCATGACAAAAAAGTAAGGCAGCATTTTCATAGTTTTGCTTGGTTCTGCGTATCTCAATGGTATCAAGTAAGAAATGTTTGGGAGGTAATTTTAATTGAACTCATTTCCGCTACCAAGGAACAAAGACAAGAAGTTAAGGGCATGAGAGATGATGAAATAGCAACGAAGCTTTTCCGTGTTTTACAAGAAATGAAATGTTTGGTGATCCTTGATGACATATGGAGAATCGAGACATGGAATCTTTTGGAGGCTGCATTTCCAAATGTGGAAACAGAGAGCACAATATTGCTTACTACACGCAATCAAAAAGTAGCCACGCTCCCAAATAGAAATGCTTATCTCCACAAACTCCAGCCACTCAATGAGAACGAGAGTTGGAACCTACTTGAGAAGAGAGCAATATCTGAAAGGGCTGATATCGGTATTTTCTCACCCTTACTCTTTTCTTTTCCAGGTTCTTAGTTATATAGCAAGCCACATAGAAACCATTACATTGCATATGACACAACTTACGTAGTGTTTTTTTTCTTTTTTTCATTCATTGTTGGGATTACACTTTACAATTTTTTTAATATTGTCAAACATGTAGCAATTTTTGTCAAACATGTAGTAATTGCAATTTTATAAACTGCCTTACTTGGTCACATATTTGTTAGGTAGCAGATAATTTATCTTATGCAATTGTAAATAATAATCAGGACAATGCTAGACAATTCAAAATTTTCTCCCAATACCTTCTCTTCAATCCAAACATATCCCAAACTTATTTGTGTTGGTCCAGATTTAATCTTTGAATGTTCTCCATTTGGCATGTGTTATAAAATCCAAACTTATAATAAGACAAAGGATATTAGTAAATTTTGGGATTTCACAATATAAATGTCTTAATTGGCATCCTTTGCTATTTCATCATCTCTTAATTTCTTGTTTTTGTTCCTTGGCATGCTCATACTACAAGAATGTATTTGATTTTTTTTTTCTCTTTCTTATTTTTAGATTTGGGAATGGACACAAAAAAGAGAGAATTAGGAACAAATATGCTTCGACATTGTAAAGGTTTGCCATTAGCCATTATTGTGCTTGCCGGAGTTCTAGCAAGAAAAAACATTGTTAGAGAGTGGGAGATAGTGCATGAGAATGTTCATGAATACATAAGGAGAGGGATGGGTCATGAAGAAGAATATGAAGGTGCATCATGGGTTTTGGCATTGAGTTATGATGACCTACCGTATTACTTAAAACCATGTTTTTTATATTTAAGTCATTATCCTGAAGACTCTGAGTTTTTGGTGAGCGAATTGACTAAGTTATGGGTGGCAGAAGGTCTTATCTCCTTGAGACAAAGACATGGTTCAGAGAAAATAATGGAGGATATAGCACGTGATTGCTTAAGCGAGTTGGTGGAAAGGTGTTTGGTTCAAGTGGGAACAAGTGGTTCAACTGGGACAATTAAATATTGTCGAATCCATGATCTTGTACGAGATATGTGTTTGTTAAAGGCAAAAGATGAAAGCTTTCTCCAGATTAACAATTCGTTGCAAGAAAATACTTCTTCTGTGGCAGTCGAGGCAGCACAATTGGGGAAAATTCGAAGACTTGCAATTTACTTGGATGAGAATGCAGATAGGTTGTTTTCTTCAAGAGATGAAACAAATGGGCACGTAAGGTCTCTATTATTCTTTGGCCTAAAAGAATGGAGGCCAAAAAGTGAAAAAAGATTACTATCCCCGTTGAAGGATTTCAAAGTGCTTAGGGTTTTGAAGGTTGAAGGTCTTATTCAAGTAGAAGTTGAGTTACCAAGTGAAATTGGAAATATGGTACACTTAAGGTTTCTAAGTGTGAGCAATAGCGGAATAAAAACGTTTCCGCCATCCCTAGGTAATTTAGTGTGCTTGCAAACTCTTGATTTTCGTGTTTGGGGTGCCATCGTGGTCATCCCAAATGTGATAATGAAGATGAAACAATTAAGACATTTATATTTACCCTGGGGGTACAGAGCAAAAGGTACCCTGGAGTTGTCTACTCTTGGCCATCTACAGACCTTAGATAGCCTTTCAACTGAGTATAGTGATTTGAAAGATGTTGGTAGATTAACCAATCTTAGAAAACTAAGAATAAAAATGTCAAGCTCTTTGCAAAATCTAGAGGAAATCTTAAAATTTACAGGCAGCACGCTTAATCGTATCCGGTCTCTAATTATGTACAATGACATGAATAACTGTGAAGAGCAAGCTATGCAAATAGTATCAAGTTGTCGGGGTATATACAAATTGGTGTTGGTAGGGCCAATCGCAGAATTATCGAAAGAGCTCCACAACTATCCAAACCTCACCAAGTTAAAATTGTATGATTGTGGTCTCAAGGAGGACCAAATGGGAATACTAGAGAAGCTGCCAAACCTAACAACTCTGCGCCTTGGATATAAAGTTTTCCATGAGAATGCAAAGATGCTGGTTTTCTCCAAAGGAGGCTTTCCTTCTCTTCAATTTCTTTATGCTAATGACATGAGTGAAATAACAGAGCTGAGGGTAGAGGAAGGAGCCATGCCTCGTCTCTGTCGATTGGAAATCAAATTTTGCTCGAGATTGACTACACTTCCAGATGGGCTGAGATATCTTACTAATCTCAGGGAATTAACCATCAGAGGGATGCATAGAGAACTCCACCGTCGGATTGAGGAAGATGGAGAGGATTTCTATAAAATTCAGCATGTACCTTCCCTTGTAATTGGAGAACCATGGTTAACCTAGCACCGATGCAATGATGGCAAGGTAATTTCTTTATTTTAATTTTTAAATTAAAAAAAAGGTGCATTTTAAAGCAAAATGGGTGGTTTGGTTTGTGTTTATTAGTTATAAAATGAAGCACCGAGAGAATATCAAAGTACAAAAGCCAACAGAATATGGGCTCCCTTGTTTAGTTATGTTTTCTTTGTCCATTTTTATTGCTTTTTGCTTGTGCTTGTGAGTTGTGAGTGAGAAGCTTAAAATCCAACGGGTTAAATTTCCTTAATTATTTTGAGACCATTGAAAAACATCTTATAATTTTTTATTTGTTTTATTTGTCCATTTTTATTGCTTTTTTGCTTGTGAGTCCTAACTCCTGAGCCTTATCATTTCCCAATTTCTAAATATTTTTGCTTTTTTTTTTGGGCACCATTACCTCCTTACATCTTGTTTTCCTTGTTTATCCACCATTTATAATTCCATCTCATTCTGAATTCAAGTTTTCGTAGTTCCATGAGAATCTTATAAGAAGTATTTGTCTCCTTCTTCAAGGCTTGTTAAGACACCACCATTGGATTTTTTTCACAAGTCAAGTAACAGTTGGATATATATATTTCTGGCATTTGAGACTCTTTGAAATGTCAAATCTTTCCCTTGTCATGTGAAAAACAATTAGAAGGCTCCAGTCGATAAGCAATAGGATTTTTTTTATACTAGATCATGTTAACAACTTATCTCTCAGTTGTTTTAGTGAAAAGGCTAAAACGTTTACGTACAAGAGTATTAGGTTGAAATGAGTGTTTTTCTTTTCTTACGATTTTACTACTATGTTCATATTGGAATGCAATTTTCACAAGTAAACTGCTGAATTTGTGTTATGGTAACTGCATGTGCGAAGCTGAACTTATAGGGGGAAGAAAGAAATGCTATGTGAAAATCAAGAGGAGCAAAGATGTGGTCAACTAGTTTAAAGTTCGTTACAAGCTTTTGGATCTAATGGTTGTCTAACAGTACATTTATATTATTGTATTATATTCCTATTTCGTGTCTGTTTTCAATTATGAATATTTGAGCCTGTGGACATCATGCCTTTGTTCACAACTTGGTCCCATGTGCCATATGATATGATTTTATCTTTGTGTGACATACATTTACGAAATCGTCCTTGCCAACTGCTGGTAGAAGAATTTAAAAGAATCGTTCTATGGTGCATTGCTTTTTTTTGTTACATTGGGTGGAAAAAAATTCCTTGGACTTCGAACTTAGGTGTCAAGCAGGTGTAAAGGGGGAGGCCACCACTGTGGTACATGCAGTCGACTATGGTGCATTGGCAAAACCCCTTGGTTCCGGTGTGAGTGTAGATTCAGATGTACTTTGACTGTTTCACATGAAGCAAAAACCCTTTAATTTGAAACATTTAAAATATTCTTAAGAATTGTTGGTGCTCTTAAGAATTGTTGCAGCAAATGATTTTAAGAAAATATGTTTTAAAAAATTTTAAAAACCCGAAATTAGAAGCATGTATGGTATTGTTTATGTATATGCGCGCTGTTTGAAAGCTTCCATGCTCTTGGTTTGAAGCAGTTATCAAGAAACAATTTGAGGCCATGGACAAATTTTGCCATCAAACGTAACAAGCAGTTCAAACGTTGAAGGTATTGTTTGGGACGCTACATTGGCCATGCTCATGGCCATCAAAGCACTTGACACAAGTGAAATACGTTCCCTTTATAAAGCTTCCACAGTGCCCATTGCAGAATGGTTTTCCACTGTAAATTATGTAGACGAGAATCACCATGTCCATGAAATCTAACCCTTCCTTTTCTTCCTTCTTGAACTCATTGAAGAAGCTGCAAGTACTCATATGCTTGCAGTCTTCATGAATCTCCATGTATGCCAAGAACTCTTGCCGGTTCACTCGGTCATTCCCATCCACGTCCATCTCTACGAAACACTCATCCACCGACCACTTTATGTGTTGTGGAGCATCCTTGCAATAAGCAAGCACCGTCTGCCACAGCTCCTCCATTTTCAATTATCCAAACTGTCTATATATACATATATTTTTTTCGTTAATAATTTAATTAGGTCGGTATGCATGGTTATATATGTAGCAAGTGGGGTGACTGAATATTTGTACATTTTGATTTGTTTTCTTTAAACTTTCTCTGGAAGGACTTGAAAGGATCAACAAGGACCTGAAAAGATTCTCTAGAATAAGGATATGGTCCTTGCCAACCACGGCCTTGGAAAGCAGTACATTAGTGTTACTTCGATGCTTAACCGTTCCCAATTAGTCTAATAATGAAGATTAGGATGATTGTGGGAGTGGTTGGGTCAATATTATTATTTTAGGACGTCCAAAGTGTTCAGAAAAGGGAGAAAAATAGAAAAGCACTCTCCTCTCTTTTTCTTTAAGGGGTAGTTAACATGTCATCTATGGATAATATGTTTTGGAAGCTTTTCCAGAAAAAATTCACACTACACTTGTCCTATAATTCATCTTATGTAATCATGAAAAAATAATAATAAGATTTTCTTAAATTAGGAAGAAAGCTCGGGGGGATGATGAGGTGGGCTAGAAATTATTCTAAAATTCTGAACACATTTCACACATGGAGATTAAGGCCGGGTTTATATATTGCGTGCGTAATCTAATGTATGTCACTACTGCCGCCATCATCGACATGGTAAAGACAATATGAACACAAGAATTGTGTGTGGATAGATGAAGAGGCTTTTCATTAAATTTTCCACGACTTGCATGATATACTTACATATTTACTGCAGTTCGTCCTATCTACTTGCTAGAATACAAAATAGTGTGGAAATCTGAGTGTATTGCGATACATGTTTACTTTAATTTTGATCGATCTTATTGCCTAGCTAGCTAGCTAGTGTAGAAATCTTAGGACAAGGCCAAATCAATAAAGAATTTACGAAATTACAATAAAATTTCAATGGATAATACACGCTCAAACAAATCCAATATATACTCAAGCAGAAATCCTCTCACTACCCCAAAAAAAAAAAAAAAAAGTGACAATAGTTATCATTATTTGGTGATATTTGCTGGGCTTTAGTCAACCCAACAAATATCACCAAATGTCACCAAATAATGGTGACATGTTGCCACTTTTTTTTTAGTAGTATCTCCATCCACCCAAGTAGTACTTGGTTGGCTAACTAGCTCGGACTACATCATAAAAATAAAATAAAAAAGGAAAAAACAGAAACTCTTGGATAAATTTTGTAGGACACTGCTTTGGCTCCATATAAGGCGTCATTCCTCCTTACATATAAATCATAGTCTGACACATACATAAAAATAACTTATTAAAATTACAAAAAGAAAGTTTTTTGTCCACATGTCAGACTGTGATTTATCCTAAGAAAGAGACAAGTAGTTTCCAATTTTGTATCCCCACTCCAGCATTTCCCAGCTCTGCCGCTGTGATTGGACTCTCTCTCTCTCTCTCTCTCTCTCTCTCTCTCTCCATTTTAGTTGAGAGTTAAAGAGCCTTGTTCAGCTTCAGCAGGTGAAGACTACAAATTATTTCACAAGTTTGATGCAAATGCTTAATTGGAAACAAGAACCTTGAAATTATACACACACACACACACACACACACACATGATTGCTCTAGCTAGCGCGCCTCAGTCTTGATCACATAATGGTACACTGAGTGGAAGCAAAGATATTCCCCAGGGCGAGAAGCACTTCTATCGTTTTCAACGCTTTCCTCCCTGCCCTCTGAAAATTAACATATATTCAGCCAAGCAAGCAAGGTCTCCGAATGAGCACGAATCGTCGACGATGAAGTACTAATTAATTAAAGACAAATAAATAGAACAAATATGCTAGGGTTTGCCCACTAATTATTAGTCAGAAAGAGAGAAGAGATGAGAATTACTTACATTTTTAGGCCTTGAATTGACGGGAACCACTTCAGTGGATGCACCAGAACTGCTTGGCTCGTTGGTGAGCCTACGGGAAGAAGAATTATTGCTCGTCTCTGATGTCCTACCAGACTCAGGTGACTTCGACTAGCATTACATAAAGTCGATGGTTTATAAAGTTAATTAATTGCCTAATTGGCATAGGCCGCCAAGGCCAGCTGTTCTTCAACAATTTTATAAAGCTGCAAATAAATTAAAATTGGCATGACCTGCCAATTAATTATATATATATATATAATTAATTCACAAAATATAATCAACAATGGGATGGTGTTTGGTTTAACTTTAACGTCAGCCCCATTCAAGATTTCAACCAACGGACAAAGATTAATTTATAATATGAAAAATGTTTAACTCTACTAATTAATGATCACTCAGCATAAATAATTATTATCTCCATGAAAAAACTAAAGAGGAAATTTGTCCCAAAACAAAAGAGGAAATCGGTGTCGAAGGAGGAAAATTTGGATGCAAAGCACCGTGCCCTCTGTGTCGTCTATTTGAAACATAACATGTTATATAGAATCTAAACTATAAATAAAACTAATAAAAAAAGGTGTTATGTTCTAACCAAAAAGCGACGACATGCTAATCAGATTGTCACATAACAAGAAGTCCAGGAATTTCAGCTTACACTATTGGATATGATTGGATTTCCCTTGCCAATGCCCTAATAAAATTACTTTTTTGTTGATCAGGAATTGAAAAAACAAGCCAGTATTCCTTGACCTACCTCATGAATGCTTGATGCTGGCAGCTGGTTCAAAGCTTCCATCCTCTTGGTTTGAAGCAGTAGGAAGTTATCAAGGAATTTCTTGTGGCCATGGACATACTTGCCATCGACATAACAAGCAGTACAAACATTGAATGTGTTGGCGGCATCACTGGCATGATCAAAGCATTTTACACAAGTAAAATAAACGCCCTTTACGAATTTTTTGCAATCCCCATTACAGAAGGGTTTTCCACTATAAACGATGTAGAAGAGAGTCACCACGTCCAAGAAATCAAGCTCTTCACTCCCTTCCTTCTTCAGCTCATCGAAGAATCTATGGTTACTCAGATGCGTACAATCTTCATGCATCTCCATGTATGTCAAGAACTCATGCAAGCTCACTCGGTCGTCCTCATCATGATCCATTTCCAAGAAAAACTCATCCACCCACCGCCGGATTTGCTCCGGGGCATCCTGGTAATATGCAAATGCTGTTTGGCGCAACTCCTCCATTTTAAAAAATTTATGCGAACTTCTTGGATTTGATTGATTGGCACAAGCTAGGGAAGTCACAGGAGGTATTTATTTATATGTATGTGCATTATCATATGGTTAATTTCAAGGAAATTTCCAAAGTGACTAAGGGCGGCACCATTAGTCAGTGGTGGGGGTTTACACTTGAAACTTCCCAGCTAATAATGAGGAGGTAATTACGTGTTAGATTCAGGTAATGATACGTAATCTCTGATCTAATGTAACAAATTATTAGTATAAAGTTTGGTTGCCTTCGGAGCCTTGCATGACAAGTAATCAACATGTTTACTTAGTCTTTTCTACTAGCTTTATATTATTTAATTAATTACCTAAGCTGTCTTAAGTTCAATAATCGAAAATCAAATACTAATGTCCCTCATCGGAGAAGTGATTGCCCATAAAAGAAGTATATTAACTGTTAAATCTCTCTAAATAACATGGAGGCCTTTTAAAATAAAATATAAATTCGCGTAATTAGGAGTGGCATGGTAAGTTGAACATTATACATCAAAGTTATGTGAAGTGAATCAATATAAGAAGTCAAGTTGTCAAATATATGATTCAGGGTCGTGAGATGAAAATGTGAGGGATACAGTAAGTTTTTATGTATGCCCTCGAATAATAAGTTTGTTTAACGATAATCATGTAAAAAGTATCTATGTTATTTATTGGGCTAATTAGGTCGTGAAGTTAAATTATAGTTGTCGAGGAGAACATACAAAAGCAACTTTTTATGAAGATCATCAGGACTTTGAATAATATAAGAAAAGTCTAGGAAATTGTTTGTGGATGTAACAATCAAATACTTGGCCATTCTCACATAATCACATTGTGTGTGCCATCGATGTGGAGGAGGCTTCCGGGAAAGAGAACCTTTCCATATGGAGGGTAATTAACACCGAATAAAATATGAAACCACTTCAATTTGATTTAATTTACAAACTACCAAGTACAAAAGACAAAGGAGGGTAATTAATTAATTTCATAGTTTAGTTTAGATATCTAAATCAATTAATTATGTAAATTTATCTGCAACTTCTGAGTGAGAAGATTCCATGGAGAAAAGGTAATATACAAGAAATTTCTTGAATTTAACTTTCTAAAAACCAAAAACTTAAAAATTAAAAAATTAAAAAAAATAAAAAAAAAATCCGTCGGCGTGATATATAGTTGGCCCCACTCTCCATTCACAAGTTTGACTGCTTGACTCAAGTTTGTATTTGCTGAATCAGTCTTCATCACATAATGGTACACTGACTGGAAGCAACAAAGATATTTCCCAGTGCGAGCAGAATCTCTATCGCTTTCAACGCTTTCCTCCTTGCTCTTGTCTGAAAATATAGTATTAAATATTCTCTTAGAGATTATCCCAAAATACAACGGATTTTTCACAGGAATCTCGACAGTATGAGAGAAATTTATTCAAAATTAACAGAAATACAACGAGAGGAACAAATAACATGACCTCCCGATCAATCTCATAATTTCAATTTGTTACATGTATATTTTTCCTTTTAATAACTATGTACAGGTGATCACGTTTCATTTTGGTTAAATATGTAAGTCTGCTAATGAAATATGACTTGGTTCAGAGGACTAACATGCCATTTACTCTCAGACCCCAGAAAAATAAAATAAAAATAAAAATAAGCGTGTAATTTACTACATACACAATCACAAAAGTTTTAGGCATATGTAATATAATTAGCAATAACAATAATAAATAATAATAAAATAAGAATTAATTATCAATGCTAGAACAGGGGTCCTTTTGGACTAGGTTGTGAGTCCCACATTACTCCACATAATAGAGTCCACACAATCCTCATCCATATGAATGACTGAAAGTCGTTAACAACTAAATAATCACAATTAATTAGAGAATAATTGTGTCCTAATGGGGATGACAAAAGTTTTGCATATGATTGAGCTTGTAATTTTAGTGGTTAAAGAGCATTTTAGTCTCCAATATATCCGATATCCTAAGTTCGAATTTCCATAGATGAAATTCCTCGTTGGGACAGATCAACCTATCAGTTGGGGGGAAAGAGGAACTTACATCATTAGGCCTTGGATTCACGGGAACCAGTGCATTGATTGTCTCTGCTGGTGTACTGCCAGTGCCAGACTCTGGTGCCTTTGCCTGCATTATATATATAGTGAAAATTAATTAATGAGCTGAATATATAGGAATACACAGCAAAATTTTATGCTCTCACACCGTTTTGTATTTTCCCCATGTTCCATAAAATAAAATAAATGCGTATGTTTAGAGTCTAGACTCTGAATTTCAGATGAGATTAGAATTCACAGTCTGACAACATAATTTTGATAAAAGAACACTAAAATTAGCTTACGTATATATAATCAGTAACAAAAATGGGCCATAGGTAGCTCATTCCGGCACTTACTATATGTATGAACTTAATTTAAGGAGCATACCTTACTAGTTATGCTTGATGCTTCTCCATGCTGGTCCTGGTTCAAATTATCTCCCACTGTCCTCTTGGTTTTTAGCACTAGGAAGTTATCAAGGAAGTTTTTGTGGCCATGGACATACTTGCCGTCAAGGTAACAAACGGGGCAAAGATCGAAGGTTTTTGGGGAATGGTAAAAGCATTGGACGCAAGTGAAATACCCTCCCTTTATGAAGTTTTTGCAGTGGCCATTGCAGAATGGCCTTCCAGTGGAAACAATGTAGAAGAGAGCCAGCAAGTCCATGAACTCTAACTCTTCCCTGCCTTCCTGCTTTAGCTCATCGAAGAAACTTGGGGTACAGAGATGCTTCGAATCTTCATGCATGCCCATGTATGCCAAGAACTCTTGCAGGCTAACTTTTTCGTTCCCATCCTTGTCGATTTCCGACAAGAACTCTTGCACCCACGTCTTCATGTGCTCCGGTACATCCTCGTAATATGCTAATGCAATTTGACGCAACTCCTCCATTTCTCTGGTGATGATCTATTCTATATAAACAAAACTTTTTTCTGTGTGTTCTTCTTGAATTTTATTGGAAAATTGAAACTATGGAATTTAATTACTAGAGGCCTACTTATATATTTACTTGATGAGGTAGGAACCTTCCAGGAAAGCTCTCTCTCTCTCTCTCTCTCTCTCTCTGACCTTCTTAAGGAATGCTTATGATCAATTTCCATTATTCCTTCTCAACAGGTGGAGCCCTTTTTGGCAATAGGGCGGCAACCTACCCTTGGCTTGTAGGAGACGAAGACTTGATGTGTAGGACATCTCCAAGGTCCCATCATTCTAATTTCTAAGGACAAAATGATGTGGTTTTCGCACTTCACCTTTCTCCACCTGCGCACTGTTGTTATTTTTGTATATCAATCAATCTGAAAGGGGATGAACACACAGTAAATAATAGATGAGGAAGAAGATGCCAAAGAACACTCGAGGATTATGGGTAGACCTGCCAATGGATCGGATTTTGATCCAAATCTGGTGTAATTAATAAAAGATGGATTAGACTTCTCAATCTGATAATCCGATTACAATCCGAATCTGATAATTCGATTATACATTAATTGGGATATGGATTATAGTTTTTATTATTATTATAGGGATATGGATTATAGTTGATCCAATCCGACTTAGTATGAAGTATAATTTAATTTTTTTTGTGCTTTATATTAATATTTAATATGTGTAAATGAGTAATTTTAACTTTTTATGCACTAAGAATACACTTAATACTAATTATTATGATAAAATATATAAAAAAATGATATAAAAAGTAGATAAATACAATAAAAGAACGAGGCTACTAATGAAATTTTGATTTCTTTTGTACATCACAAAATAAATCCGATCTAAATCCGATGTAACGGATATGGATTGATAGGTGCAATTTGATAGTCTAAATACAATCTGAATCTGATAATCCGATTATAAATAGATTTAGATTTGGATTGAGGTGTATTTGATCTGAATCTTACCCGTTTATAAGTCTAATTATGAGGCTCAAATTACTCACACCACAAACTTTTTGGGTAGATGAATAGGAAATATTTTTGCTCACCATTTTAACACAAGGTGTAAGCTCACCACTCTTCTTAATACTTAACACATGTCTATGGACATAACTATGATTAATGTTTTACTTTGATTATGTAACTATGGTTGTACTTATGAGCACATATCAAGTATTGAGAATAATAGTACCTTAAATTAAAGTAGTAAACAAAAATATTCCCAAAATAAATAATACTTTGAACAAAAAGCCAGGCTACAAGTTGCAGTTCCCAAAAAAAACATGCCATCACTTGTAGTGGACTGATAGGTTAGAAAGGCAACGAAAGAAAAATACAATCCAACGACCATATCGTGGGGTCAAGATCCACTGCTTTTTATTATTCGGCCTTTTGAGACTTGTTGTCTTCTTCTGTCTATCATCTAAGGGTTAGGAATTTTTCTTTTCCTTTTTTGGTATATGATCGCATGGTTATGATTGAAGCTTGGTTAGTACACGTATCTGCTTGATTGCATTTGCCTGGATTCTTCCGAGTTCAAAGCGAGCCTTCTTCACGAAGGCACATATGTGTGGCCAATGGCCTCCACTTCATTCTTGGCATTATTTTGAGGGCAATGATTTCCCCACTTCTATTTTATCCACTTACACTCATTTTTTAGTTATAAAAAAGGAGTGTAAGTGGATAAAATAGAAGAAAAAGGAGTGGGGAAATCACCACTCTATTTTGAATGTCCCTTTTTCTTCCCTTCTCTTTTTGACTCATCAATTGGTGCCTTTATGTCTCTCCACTTCCCTAGGATCTTGAGCATGCAAATCCACCGTCCATTTCTTTTTGGTTTTTTCTACTTTAACCTCTTCTATGTGTAAGAGTTCAAATTCTATTGGAACACTTTCTAATCATTTGAGGTTTCCTAGTCTTGTGTTGATTAGGAATTTATTTCATCCACGCCCAGACAGATAAAGTATTCATACTAAAAGGATTATATCCATT